ATAAAGAACTTTTTGTATATAAATAAGGTTGTAAAAGATTTTGATTTTAATAGTAGTTAAATTATCAAAATTAATTTGTTAGATTTCAATATACCCAATGGCTATCCATTTTCTGTACTAAATTTAATACAATGTGCTAGATTTGTTATTTGATTTAACTTTAAAGAGTTTATAAAAACAAAAATATGTCTTAGTTTAAATAATTAAGATAATTAAACAAAACAAAATATAATTATTTGAGTATAGCTAGGCATATAAGTGTCAATTATTGACTGAAAGAATCAAGTTCTTAGTAAGTTAAAAACCTAAAGGGAGATCAAGTTCTATTGAGACTGTTTTATCTAGGTGAAGCCAGGTGAGCTTTTGAATTGGTGTTCAATAAAAACTTTAGAGAAGAATTTGTTGTAATTTATCACATAGTCTAAATATCTAAATAAGGCCATGCAAAAATTAATTAATTGGTTTTCATAATCTGCCAGATCCAAATTTAGAACTTTGTAAAAAAAATTTTTTATATGTTTAAATAACTGGATAGGTTTTTAAAGAAATTTTTAAATGTTTTATAATATTTATAGAGTGAATCTATTTGTCACCAGTGGTAACACAGTAACAGCAGCAATTGGCAATCAATGCCACAGGATCAGGTGTAATGTTTGTGTAATCTAAAAATGAAGAAAACATAGAAAATTTTCAAAATTTGCTATAGCTCAAAATTTCACCTATAAAACCACCTTTAGTGTTCTAATTAAAAGATTTCTTGCCAAATTTTACTATATATTATGCTTTATCCCAACCCCAACTCAACTCTAACCCTGACCCTAACGATAATCAACTTTAGTATTTGTTTTGATTCCGTTACATGATGTATATGATTGGCCAATTACAACTGTCACCGTGTCGCCACCAGTGACAACTAGATTTTTTCATATTTATACAGTATATCCTTGATATAACGAACCTTGATATAATGATAACGAAGATTATTTCTAATTTTTGTGTTTAATTAGCCCTGATATAACGAAATTACTAATAAAGATTTGATATAATGAAGAAAACCTCCAGCTCCAGAGCTTTGTTATATCGAGGTTATACTGTATATAATTTTTTTTAAAAAAAGCTGGCCGGCTGGGTCTGTTTAATAGTTTCATGTTATGAAAACCAAGATATTAAATTTATGTAGCCTAAAAAGAGAAGATTGCTAAATTATAAAAAATCAAACAAAAATATATCAAATTTGATAAAATATTAACTTTGAACTACAGGAAATTAAAAAATATGACTTAAACAAAAGATTATAAACTGTTAAGGAATTTAAATTTAAAATTACAAAAAGATTTTATATGTATTTTTTTTAAATTAATCAAATTTAATAACTTTTTTATATAAATTTACATGTAAAATTTAATGTATCAAATTATTTGATTTATAAATAGCAGCAATAAAAACCCCGTATAAAGACAAGCAAGCTTCAAAATCTAACAATAATTATTAAAAAATCATCAACTATGCAAGCTAGTTAAGAAAGCATATAAATAATAGTATGCAATGATTAGTTATAATCAAACAAAAATTTATAATTTAACATAATAAATTCTGCCATACTGTAGATATTTACAATAAAATTGAAAGGCCAAGATACAGTACAAAAGCTTGTAATCAGCATTGGTCAAGTTTGATTTGATTGGTTAAAAAGGAAGGTAATTATTTATACGAATCTATTATAATTTTATAATACATGTAAATACTTGTATTAAGTAAATTGATTCGCTATTGAAAAAAAATTTTTTATTAAAAAAATCTCAAATAACGCTTTGTATCTATAGTTTGTATCTTATTTCGTCGTTACTGAAAAAACATCCGGTAGGTGAAGAATCTAAATGAGAGAACAAGTTTCAAAGGTTTAACACTTAAATTACAGATTCTACCTGCCTATAATTTTAATACTATGGTGTATTCTAGTAATTACCTTTTGATAATGAGTTTATTAAAAGTTTATTCATTTATTATTAGGTAAACTCGGTGATTTAGAGAAGCACAAGTTTTTATTTTAAGTCAAAAGCAAAATGAATATGTTGTTCAATAAGGTTTATTAATGTGAATATAATACTAAATCAATAAAGTTGCTTAAAGAGTGTAGTTATTTAATTACAATTAGGATGAGTGTTGGTTTAAAAATAGTGAGGCAAGTATATTTTTCGTGTTACGTGTTTCTTTTTTTCTTTGTACAGGTTACCATCGTTAATATCAACCTATTTGAATTGGTTTTAAATCATGTTGATATAGTGATATTAAGAATTTTGATATATAAAAATTTATAAAAATTTGTTTTGTGGCTTAGGTTGATATTAACGAGGTTGATATTAACGGAGGTAACCTGTAGATTTAATCAATCTATATTGATGACGATCGGCCAATCTAAAAGTGTCAATAATCTTAAGTAGAGTTGATGAGTTCTTGAAAAAAGTAATTAAGAACAAGTCAATAAGAGGCTACTAATAGGGTTGAAAAGTGAATTAGCATACCCAGAAAAGTTGGTGTAAAAATAATTCCAGATTATTCCACAAGAAAATTATACTTTACTCACAGAATTGGCCAAGCTTCTGATCTTATAAATCTATCATACTCAAATTTATTCATTCTTGTACATTTAGTCGTTGATTCACATAGTAAAAAAATATTATGCATTAGCTCATTTTATATCGCAATCAATTTGTATGAGAAACCCATAAGATTGAACGAAGGCAAATCAGATTCAAATAGGCCCAATTCAGACAGAAATTTGGCTCGAATATGCGACTTTTAGAATACAAATTACGTTCAAGAAATATCGATAAAGTTATAGAAAATTTGTCGAAAAGCTCTATTGATTTAGAGTTATCATTAACCGATATGTCTTGAGGCCTACAAGAACCCATTTGTATCCTAAAAGTCACGTATTCAAGCCAAATTTCTGTTTCAAATAAGTTATTAATCGTGATTATGCGAATCCGATTTGAATCCAATTTTCTTTCGTTCGACCTGTCTCATCTTAGTATATCATAAAGCCTGAATGGGCAAAAATTAAATAATGTTATCGCAAACATCAAACATTTTTGATTTATTATTTAAAGAATGCTCTAAAAGAATCGTGCAGCATATTAATGGTGTATAAAGTTTAATGCTAGTTTGAAAATTTAAATATATTCTTTTGAAAACTAAATGCAATTGGAGAAGCTATAATATAATTTGTCATCAAAACTAGCCAAGCATAATCTCATTACGTTTCCGATTTACGTAAAAATAAACAAATTTTTTTAGTCTAATAATATTTCACGTCTCTTGAAATCTTCAACTACCAATCTCAAAACCTGCCTAACGAAAGGCACATGATATGGTATTTCGCTATAAGAAGTAAAATTATCAAGTTTTTCAGGTGTAATTAAAGCTAGGCTATCATAATTTGCATTAATGATTGCTAAAGTATAATGTAAAAGAACATAAATTAGGGATTCTCTTATTATTCATTAAACAACATACTATTAGACAAAATATTTACCCAAGACCTGTAATGTTTTGTGTATAGGATTAAATATAAACCAGTTACATTATGGCAATGAAAGCGATTAATATAAACATATATACTGTATATTTATAGAAAATAAAATACCTGCTCAGGAAGTAATGTTTGGACCCGATTTGCCGCTTTCCAAGCCTCTATTTTTAAATGAAAGTGTCTGCAAATAGTATTTATATTCACAAAAGCATGTTCATATGGCGAGAATTTTTGCGATGAAGGTTTAGCCGGGTCTTGAGTATTTACTAATAGTATTGATTGTGAAATAATAAAGGTGAAATAATAAAGGTATTATTAATATTAAACATAATACTTGATACTTTCTCGTATTATATTATGAAAGCTCACCTATTTTACTTAAACCTTCAAAGACTTCATTTGACCTTACTATTTCATAAAATAATTTATCATATGTTACTGCATCCGGAAAAAATGAATCACCATATGAGAGAGACAAATTTATAATGTTTATTGCTGAAATCACTATTTCAATGATTGATGAACGATCTTGTTGGAAACTATCGTAGTTGGAATGAATGAATTTGAGTAGCCCTATTAAAGAATGCCATAATTCTGACCAATGATATGCTAAAAAAGCAACATATAATATAGTTATGAAAAATAGATAAATTAATCTAAATAAATAAATTTGAATAATTGGCCTTACACAATTCAACTTTAAATTTTTTGTGATATGACATTATTCGTTGGATAATTCTCAAGACCAAACTAAATTGAAAGTTCAATAATATGAATTATAAAATATTAATGTGTTAATATTGTATCCAAAGTAGATTTCTATCTGAAGTAATTACTTTAGATATCTAAATCAGTTAGGAGCCACTTCAAGCGTAACAACCACAATGTATTATGCAAACCTATATAAATCTATCTGCAATTTTTTTCGCATATTATGATTTATAAAGCCTAAACCGATATCTAAGATTGCACAAACTAAAGGGCGTGGATCTCTTACGTTTGGTAGTAAAGGCTGTCGCTGTTAATCAATAATTATTAATTATTATATATAGACAACAATGTTTAGTACTTTGAAAATTTGCTTTACCTGTCGACAAAGTCGCACATAGTAGCTTTTGCGTACATCAGAAATACGACTATCAAATGTTACATCTTCAGTCAAGATAAGCAGCACAAGTAAAGACAGCTTAACATAGCTCGCTGTACGTGCTGAGCGATTGTGTTGTACAAGATAAGATGTAAATGAAAGAAAATCAAGAAAATAAGGCTCATCTAAAAATTCAAACAGCATTAATATAAATATTAAACTACAAAAATATAAATGCAGTATTATGTAAATACCTTATTAAATACAAACCTAAATTCGTTTCTGATTCAGAATTCATCTGATATTCTGCTATCGATTTTGATATGTATGCAACAAATCCCTTGTTATTGTTCACAAAGTCATAATAAATTAAAAGGATTGCTATATTTGCTGATGGCCTAAAATATAAAATTTAGAAATTATGTTGTTAGCAACGCCTGGAAAATAATAACAGAAATAGCAAATGTCGAAAAAAAAATCTAAATCCACTTGCAATTGATTAAAAGCTTGATCAGGATCAGAAATATCTTGTTGTTCTTTTGTATTGCCACTCATTCCCCATGGTAAGATAGCACCAACATATGATAAGGCTGATGAAACTGAATACTTATAAGTTTCATCATCATCTTGAATTTCAATATAATGACTTAAAGTGGTATAATTTTAATTAATAATGTATTATTTATTACTTAATAACATAGCACATATGCATACTAAATCAAATTACTTGCGACATTTCTTGCATGTTGATGCTACAGCATCCAATATTTTCTAGAATTATTTGTATAAAAAAAAAACATTACAAATCAATGCTAAAACATAACAAATACAAATGTAAATCATTAAAGTATTTACATACTTGAAAAACGGATTCATCCTTTATTGCGGTAATTTTTGTCATATAAGGATTTTTGGATTCATGCTTATTATAATTTGCCAATATTCCCAATAACATTATAGCTTCATAAGCCACATAGGAAGTCTCAGGTGCAATTATTAGCTAAGTTAATAATAATATCAAATTGATATTAAGTCAGATGCTAAAAGAGTAATTATATAATAATATTTTTATGATTAAATCAACAAATTAAATTTACCTTGATAAGTTGATCAAATATATCATTTTTCATAAAGAATTCATTTATACTGTTTTGGTTGATATTATTATTTCCACATACAACCACGATGGAAAGGCGTAGTGCTTCGTATTTGATTACTAATTAAAATGGTTATAAAATAAAATGTGAGTCTGTGAATTAAACTTTATTATAGATATCACACACACACAAACATTAATTAACCTGTTTCATCATTTTCCATTAAATGTTTGATTGCATCAACCAATTGCTATCAAAGTAGTTTGTGTAAATTTAAACCAATCAATAAATAACTTCACTCGTAGACCGTAACTTACAGTAAAAACAATGTCAGCATTATTCAACCCGGTCAATAAATTGATTACATCAGAGCTAAAATTGTTAAATTTTTTGGCAAAAATTCCTTGAAGCAGTATGCATAATGTCTAAAAGTGAAAAAAAGTATGTAAATTAATGATTCCATTAAATAATATTTATAAAATTTATATAGATTTTTACCTCAATTGCATTAATTTTGCGTTTAGATGTTTCATCTTTCATCATTTCAATGGAATTTAAAAATATTTTATTAATGTTGCCCTAATTTATCGAAAAATTTTTTAGATTTTTTTTTTTTAAAAAAAAAATTGTGTAATTAATTAACTTAGTATCATGAATAATTAATAGAATACAATACATGCTTTGATTGCTAATAATTGATCTTGGGAGATTTCGGTAAGACATCTTGTTAAATACGCCGCATTAACTTTAAGAAGAAATAGCTCGCTCCAAAAATGAGGTCTACCAGCTGATGGATCATTTCCCTATTATGCAATTTTTCATTGAAATCTTTTTGTTAGGTTAAAAAAACAAAAAAGGATAAAAAGTAACCAATTATAACCTTGAAGAAATTTTCGTAAATTTCCACAAATTTTTCTTTGAAAGCTTTAGCACCGTGTGTTGGCCCTGTTAGTTTTCCCAATAACTCGGTTCTTGATGGAGACTGCATTTTCTCCTACATACATACGTACACTTTTTTCGAACTTTGCTCTGTTTCAGCAAGCAAAATGATATATAGTATCACAAAAAATTTTAAACGTGTAAAAATTGTGAAAATTTAATTAAGATCAAACACATGCTTTATTTGTGTAACAAAATTTGAAATTAAAAAAAAAAA